GTTTCCTCCTTAGCTTTATAACATATCAAAATCTGCTAACAAGTTAACAATACAGACAGAAATCTTACATCTTTTTCTCAAAGGCGGAGACAAACGATTGCCTTCGGACCCAATAACACCGATGGATCTTGAATATTTTCAATAAGTTAAGATTACACAAAATTGCGCGTCGAGTTTACATAAAGCAAAAAAACTTCGGAAAAACACATGTCCCTCTAATTTTCTGACTGAAAACGGGGATCGCGTTCTGCCTTCATAAGAAATGCACGCATTTTCTGAGTTTCAGATAGAGCGAGGATCGAAGTGTTTTTTGAAAATATATGATATGCGTTCTTCATCTCTTTGCAAAATTCAGGATATTGACCGTTAAACCGTAACGACATTGCTAAATTTTGGTAGCTAAGTGCTAGATCAATATGATTAGGTGAAAGTGTCTGAAGTTTAATTTCATGTGCTTTCCTAAAATAATCTAATGCTTTCTGATGATCAAGTTGTGATTGATAAACTTGTGCAATATTGTTATATAATCCAGCGACGTCGGGATGATTTTCTGGTTGTACTACCGTTCGAATTGCAAGACATTCTTGATACATACCTAATGCATCTTTGTAATGTTTCTGTTCATCATAGATTAAACCGATATTATTGTAGCAGGAAGCGAGACGAGCTGGATAGGTTTTTGGATATTTTAATTGAATGCGTACGGCTTCCTTAAAAATTGATAGTGCTTTTAGATATTCTAGCTTTTTATAGTGTACGAGGCCTAAATGTAGGTAAGATGATACTAAATCAGGGTGATCTGGATATTTGGTTAAGAGAAGATTAATACTGCTGTTCGCATGCTCAAGTGTACTTTGCATATCTCCCATATTGTAAAAGCATCCTGCCATATTATTATACACAGCAGAAAGATCTTCATAATTACTGCGAACTACTGGATCGTTCGATGTCATCGTATAATATTTTACCGCTTCACTATACTTTCCCATCTTTTCCGTTAGTCTCGCAAACGAAAATAATGGATTTACCTGTATTATATCTTTCTGTAGACTGTCTTTTAAGCCTTTCAAGTCTAAATCTTCCTCTCCAGTGCACTTTACATGAATATTCCACAAATTCTGTTTATCCTGATTGACAGATACAATTTTAAAGATCGAACCCATTGAAAAAAGAACTTCGCACTCATCGGGCTCGGAACTATCTCGCGTAATATCAGCAAATTCCGTTTGACATCGCTTAACATCTACTTCAATTTTAAATAAAATACCAAGCATACCGGAGTTTCCTCCAGAAGTAACTGCAAAAGAGGATGCCTTGGAACTTAGATCGCTTGTTGCTAGAAAAGTTGGAATAGACATGTATTGACCAGGAACTGCATTTTTCAATGGTGCAAACTCAAATTCTGTCACGACTATTCCACGATAAACAGTTAATATATTGCCACAAAATGAGCCTTCCTGAAGCTGCTTCCTGTGTCGTTCAACTAGTTGTGCATGCAAATGAGTAATAAAGTATCGCATACGGTAAAGTTGATCAATATCTTGTAATCTCAGTGCTTTGTTTATAATACGATAGAGAAATATATCACGTGTAAACCACCATATAGCTTTCTCAGGTCTGTAGTCTCGTTCAAATTCTTCAATAACGTTCAGAGAGTCTTTATCATTAGCATACAGTGAACGACACAAGTCAATCATGTCCTTTTTACTTTGTTCTGTTGATTCCATTTTTACTAGAACATCTTTTAAAATTTGTGAATACATAAATGAAGGTTCCTGTCGATGATCTTCGCTATCTTGTGCTGTTGATTTCAGTTTTGGAGCACTCGATACGTTAAAATTAAACATACCATTTATTCTTTGCGACGTGTCTTTTTGAATTTGTTGACAAATAGCTTTTACATCGGTATAGACTTTACGCGTTTCACTGCCAAATATATGAGTCAACAGATCAGCACTGTCACCACCGATCTGTTGATTTTCGTTTAAAATGAATGGAGATAAAAGTTTAGACTGTTTTTGAAGAGAAGGAACGAACTCTTTCGTTACTAATCCAGAGACGATCAAAAATATTTTTTCATTTTGAATAGTAGACATAAATTTTAAACAT